AGCTGTGTGCCCCTGGGACCTCCAGCAGCTCTGGAAGGAGGTCACAGCCGCCCAGCCCGTTGAGGACAGCATTAAGCAAGAAGGTCTCGACCTCACCACCAACACCTCCAACTCTACCTCGTTTTCGGCCGCCAAGGTCTCGCCTCCCATTTCCCATCACCCTCTGCCCAATGGACAGAGCACCATGCACACGCCGAGAAGGGACAGGTAGAGCCGAGTCAGGCCCTGGCACTTGGGTTTTTTTACCCCTGGAGAGGTGGAAGGGACGGGATCTGTCACCCATGGGGTTGGGAGGGCTGGGGGGCTTCTCCCCATTCCCTAAACAAGACCTGTCGCTGTTTTCCTGCACCCATGTGCCCATGGATGGGAGGGAGCCATGGCTGTGGGGTCTCCCATGGGTCCCCAAGGGTTGATCCCGTGCATGGGAATGCTGGAGCATCACGGCTGCCCCGTCTGACAGTCCCTTCCCGTCTTCTGCAGCTCTTCCCACGAAGAGACCCCCAGCTCCCACCCGCTCTATGGCCACGGAGAGTGCAAGTGGCCTGGCTGCGAAACCCTCTGTGAGGACTTGGGACAGTTTGTCAAGTAAGTGCGTCCCTTTTTGGGGGAGGTTTTCCCGCAGGAGGGGAGAGCCCCCGCTCCTGGGCTGGGACAGCATGGGGCTGGCGGAGGGGGAGACCCTGGAAAGGGGTCTGGATGTCCCAAAGTCTGTCTGCCCAGACAAGGGAGGGCAGCCCATGCTGAAGGAGAAAACACCAGAGATTGCTGCTAGAGGAAAAGAGACCCAGTGCAGCGGGCAGGAGCGGGCAGGAGCAGGCAGCAGGCGAGGGGAGTTTGCAGCTCCCCTCCTGGGGGGCGAGAGGAGGGGAGGAAGCAGATGGTGGCGCGGCAGCCCGCTGACACCGCTTGTGGGCTCCGGCGCTGACTGATTAACTCCGCTGTTGAAGAGCCCTCTGCTAGCGTCAGGGTCAAACAAATTGTTTTCACGCTTCGTCAGAGGTTTACTTAATTAGTTCATTTGCAATTAGATCTCTTTGTAGCCGGGATTTTTAGCAAAGACATCAGAAGGAACTGACGGGCTTGCTTGCTCCTTCCCCCCTCGCCTCTCCGGCTGTCTGCTCGGTGCGGTGGCCGAGATGCACCGGCGCACTTTGCTCTCCATCAGCGAGATTTTGGGTTTTTACAAACTGATCCCATCCGCTGCCACCCACTCGGGGCCGGCTCCGGTGGGAGCATCCCTCGGACCGCACCGGCCTCCTCGTTCCCAGGGTAGGAGCTGGGCTGAGGCCTTGCAGAGGAGGATGAGGAGGTGCGAAGGCAGCCTGGGGAGGCCGGGGGAGCGTTGCCTGGTGGCGACAGAGTGAGTGAATGAGTCAGGCTCCTGCGTTCTTCCTCTGACTCACAGGGTGAACCTAGATAAGGCATCTCCTCCCGCCTCTTCAGGCGTGTTTACATGGCACGGGGCAGATGAACGAGCTCCGGTTTGGAAGCTGGAGCTGGGGTTGGCAGGGGATGGCCGGGGCTGGGTGGCAGTGCCGGGAGAGCCTTGCGGTGCCAGCCGGGGCTGGAGGGTCCCTGCGTCCCACCTGCCTGTCGTCCCCACCCCGAGCACACCTCTTTCTGTCTCCTCTCTGCCAACGCGAGCGCGTGTCGGGGTGTGGGACAGCAGATGAAAAACGTCCCGTGCCCGAAGGCTGAGCCCAGCTGCAGCGTGGACCTTGCTTTGAGTCCAGGCACCGGCTTCGAGCCTCTGAGCATCATCTCCATGGAGCAGCTCAGAAAGCCCCAGCGCTGGGGCGCGCAGGGACAGCACACGCTTTGAGCAGTGATTTAGAAAAGCCTGTGAGGGTCGGTGGGAGACATCTCTGTTCCTGTTCAGCACAGCCTACGCTCTCGGTAGCTTTTTCCCGGGGGAAACAGCCGTGCCTTCAGTGCAGCCGCAGCGGTGCGGAGCGGGGCTGAGACACCGTCAGGGTTTGCTCACATACGGCTTGGCAGCTGGTCCCAGTTACCTAACTTGTTTTCGCAAGCTGGGGCTGGAAGTCTCTCGCAAACAGCTGGGTGAGACTCCCGCCGTCTTCCACATCCGGACTGAGGGTAGATACTCCTGAGGCACCTTCTCTGGGGATGTCTCAGCAGAACTATCTCCGTCTTGGTCCTGGAGAGCGTTGGCCCACGGCCCTGGGATGCCCGTGTGTATCCCAGCGTTGGATGCCACTTTTCGGGGTGTTCCCGGGATGGCCCTGGTACAGTCTGCCCTGCTGCACAGCATTCCCCCTCCGACCTGTCCCACTCCTCCGGTGAGGACCCCCCTGGGTTTGCAGCCACCCCGGCAAGGACGTGGCCCGGCCATGCGACTTCTTTAGGACTGGGAGCGTCCCCAGGCTGCCGCTTTGCTGGGTCTGGGGGTGAGGACCCCCACAAAGCCATGCCAGGATGTCCCAGGCTCTGCAGCAAGTGGCATCCCCGTCACCGGCTACTGGCCTCTGCTGGGAGCCCTTTCCCTCCCCGGGAAGGAGGGAGGGCGGCGAGGACCAAAGGTCCTTGTGCTTTATAAACATAAAGTGCCTTATAAACACAAGGCACAAAAGCAGTAGGGTGAGGAGCACCCTGGAAATGTCACTTTTTGCCTTCGGGGGTTTCCTTAGAGGGTGTAAGTAAACTTCAAGAATGCCGCCTTTGTCCTGGAAACCTGCTCCTCAGGTCCTCCCGGGCGCCTCCTGCCCACAGCCCTTCTCAAGGACTTTCCATCCACCAGCGTCTGCTCCTGAACACCGCGGGGCTGCCGTGGGCAGGGCTGGTGCTCTACGGCCGCCCTCCAGCCTGGGGTCGGGGAGGAGGTACAGCCCAGTTTGCTTGGCCGCCTTCGTGCCTCAGTTTCCCTTCTGCTCGTCACGCTTTGGGCAGCGGCGCCAGAGCATCCCCGGCATGGGCAGCACCTCGCGGGCGTCTCCGAGCGTTGGTGCGGTGTAGTTTGCAGGTCGAGGCTTATCCCAGGTGTGGCCTTGGCAGAGGGGCCACATTTCGGGCACATCCAGGTATCAAACTCCATGTTCTTCTCCCCAGACACCTCAATACAGAACATGCACTTGATGACCGAAGCACGGCCCAGTGTCGAGTCCAGATGCAAGTGGTACAGCAGCTGGAAATACAGGTGGGTACCTCCCCAACCTCAAAGGACGCGCGTTTAAAAAGCCGTCTCCTTCCTCAATCCGTGCACTGTGTCTTGGCTGCTCTCTGCAGGAGGGGGGCAGCGAGGTTGAGGACCACTAGCAAGGTAATTAGCCACCCCAGTGCCACCGGGGATTCATTTTAAGCATCCTTCCCTAACAGAGGTGCTGCCCCTGGCTGAGCCATACCCTAATGGGTATCGAGACCTAGGGGACCCTCAAACCGGTTCCCCCTCTGCTACCAGCATCCCTGCGTGGTTATGCTGGGGCTGGAGGAAGGGACAAACCGTCTCTCCTGCCCAAGAGTGTCCCTGTGGGTACAAGGAGATGCCACAGCCCTGGAAGGCACATGCTGCCTGGGGGGGGGATGTGTGCCCACAGGACGTGAGCTGTGCCCCAGCCCTCGTGCCCAGCCGTGCCGCCGCAGCGAGAGCCGCGGGGCTGCCGGGCTCTTTAGAAATCAGGCCGCTTATTTCAGTGGCTGAGCGTGGTCTTTGGAGCCCAACTTTGGGTTGCTATTTTTGGAAAGCCAGTTCTTTAAATAGTGCCTTTCCCAGCATCTCCGACTCCCCGACGTGCCATGCGTAATTCGGTTAATAGAGAAGGGATGGTGGGGGGAAATGGGAGAAAATTGAGTGTTTTCATCTTGGGACTTGAAAGCAGTCGAGGAGGAAAGCGGGACAGGGCAGGGGTCTCTGCTCACCGAGACCCCCATGGCATGACGGTGCCTGGGTGCCGGCAGGAGCGGTTTGTGCCCATCGCTGTGCGTGGCAGTGGGTGTCATCACGGGGGACGCCGGCCCCGGAGGGCAGCGGGCCGTGCTGTGTGGCAGCCTTGGCAGCCTGTGCTCGGAGTTATAATAACGGGGGCTGCGGGGTGTGGGGGGCACAGGCAGCAAAACCTTCTCGGGTTGGGGAGGCTGCAAAGCTGCCTGGGCGAAGCGGAGCGACGGCATCCCGCTCCCCAGCGCTCGCTAAAGCGAGCGGTTGAAAGCAATTACTGGGGCTTAAAGAGGGGAGGGAAAGGAAGGGTGGGGGGTGGGGGGGGAAGCTGAAGGGCGAGCAGCAAGCTGCGTGTGCAGAGAGGAGAACCTGCCACCGGAGCTACCAATTATAAAGTTTTCAGCGCGGAGCTCCCGCTGTGCCGGCGGAGAGCGTCTGCATCACGAGGGGAGACCTGTCAGCTCTAATGAGCACCACGACAGCGCGAAAGCATCCGAGCTGCTCCAAACTTGCAGCAAACTCCGCTCTGGCTCCTGTCTTTAACTCCTTCCTCGCCCGGCTCCCGGCTCCGGCGCCTGCCCGGGGAGGGGGC